TGCTGGTACATGTATAATGGTAACTGATATGTCAGGCTAGTATAATGGTAACTGATATGTCATGCTAGTATAATGGTAACTGATATGTCAGGCTAGTATAATGGTAACTGATATGTCATGCTAGTATAATAGTAACTGATATGTCATGCTAGTATAATGGTAACTGATATGTCATGCTAGTATAATGGTAACTGATATGTCAGGCTAGTATAATGGTAACTGATATGTCATGCTAGTATAATAGTAACTGATATGTCATGCTAGTATAATGGTAACTGATATGTCATGCTAGTATAATGGTAATTGATATGTCAGGCTAGTATAATGGTAACTGATATGTCAGGCTAGTATAATGTAACTAATATAGTCGATTTGTGTTTACTACAGGTAGGTCAATGATTACCAAATCGTGCAAGTGGAATTAATAAACACTTTACTACACTGTTAGATGCAAATACTACCAGTAGATATAGTGTAGATATAGTATAGCCCTTACCTGTATGAATAGTTGTAGCTTTGTGACAAGAGTTGATGCCAACGCCTGTAGGGTGAAAATAAGACAGTTATTTCAGACAATAGTCCAGTATTAAAATAACAACCATGAAGTCTGGGAATTAGTGTCACATTAAGCATTCTAGATGTAAGAACGATTGGATTTATGCAAATGAATTTTACATTGCATTCTTAAAACTTCGACAAATTTATATTGATGCATCACACTATCTCCATGCATAACATGTTTTAGGATGCATCACATTAACTTCATGCAAAACAGATTTTAGGATGCATTCACACACAAAATCAAATTGATGCATCACACTATCTCCATGCATAACATGTTTTAGGATGCATCACATTAACTTCAAGAAAAACAGATTTTAGGATGCATTCACACACAAAATCACATTGATGCATCACACAAACTTGATGCATAACACGTTTTAGAATGCATCACATTAACTTCAAGAAAAACAGATTTTAGGATGCATTCACACACAAAATCACATTCATGCATCACACAAATTTGATGCATAACATGTTTCACGATGCATCACATTAACTTCATGCAAAAGAGATTTTAGGATGCATTCACACACAAAATCACATTGATGCATCACACAAACTTGATGCATAACACGTTTTAGAATGCATCACATTAACTTCATTCAAAACAGATTTTAGGATGCATTCACACACAAATTCACATTGATGCATCACACAAACTTGATACATAATACGTTTTAGGATGCATCACATTAATTTCATGCAAAACAGATTTTAGGGTGCATTCACACACAAAATCACATTGATGCATCACACAAACTTGATACATAATACGTTTTAGATGCATCACATTAACTTCATGCGAAACAGATTTTAGGATGCATTCACACAAAATCACATTGATGCATCACACAAACTTGATGCATAATATGTTTTAGGATGCATCACATTAACTTCATGCAAAACAGATTTTAGGATGCATTCACACACAAAATCAAATTGATGAATCACATTATAAAGTTCATACATAACAGGTTTTAAGATGCATTCACACACACAAAATGTATGCAGGAAATAGCTTCATTATGTCACTGATCAGTTTCATACTAGCATGTCAACTAACACAAGGATTTCATTTCACACTATTCCAGATCACTGACCTATTCCAGCTGAATTACCAAAGTTAGTTAAAGACAAATCATAAGTTTTTATATTTTATTTGCATGTGATTGCTTTGGAATCAGGCTTCAATAATATAAATTATTTTGATAGTCAATGCAAAATCATTTCCTTATTCATGGTTTATGTCCAGGAGACAAGGAGAAACAACTAGAATACATTTGCTCTGGTCACATACAATGTAAGTATGTCACTGAAACATTGCTTACTTACATCTTTCTGTTGGGGTGTGTCTCTTTGAGTTCGAAATGCAGCATTCACCCACTCTTTGACATCAAAATTGTCATCAAGGAACTTGGAAAAATCCTGTGAATTGATACATGTAATGTACATAATGTGATTTAATCATTGCATTTGCATCAATACAATAATCAGAATTTCAAAATGTCTGGAAATAAGAGAAGTTAAGCTACATTTGGAAAAGTAAATATTAAATTTTGCAAACAAATCTTACAAATAAAAAAGAATATGGCAGCATACATGTATGCAGAAGTAGGACAATACCCACTCTGTTAACAATGAATATGGCAGCATACATGTACATG